CTCGTCTTAAATAATCTCTCTCCTTTTTGGATTTTCATGACGAAGATTCTACCTAAGTTCTTTTTAGTCTCCTTTACAAGTTCATCATCTAGATAGGGGTTCTTAACCTGGGGTCTGTGAATTTGTATATTTTGATGACTTTCAGTGTATTTGGCTTTCCTTCTAATAGGATGTTTTTGTTTTGGTTTTGGTTTTTTTTGCATTTGAAAATATTATTCTGAGAAGGGGTCCATGACACACACAAAAAAAGGTTAAGGACACCTTCTCTAGAATTAAATATAAACTCTGTTTAGCTTTTAAAAAGTCTTTCAAAACTTTGTCCCAGTCTCTCTTTACAGTACCCTTGCATGTTACTCTCCCCACCACACTGGCCTTCTCTCTGTTCTTCACAAATGCACACCCTCACTCCCCTTCTTCAAGAAATAGTTGAAGGACCACATTTTACATAAAACCTTTACTGATCTCAAGTGCTAGTACCCTCTCAATCTGCCTTGTATTAATAAATTGTATTTATTTGAATTTATTCTTATTTTATTCTGCATATGTGTACCCCTACATATCCTTCCATAGGGGCTGCCAGGTGACAGAGTACATAGAGTGTTGGACTTGGAGTCAGGAAGACCTGAGTTTAAATCTTGCCTCAGACACTTACTTAGCCAAGTGACTTGGGGCAAGTCATTTTTTTTTTTATTAATTTGTTTATTTTTAGTTTTCAACATTCACTTTCACAAGATTTTGAGTTCCAGATTTTCTCCTCATCTTGCCTCTCCCTCACCTGAAGACTCCTTCCCCTAATCTATCCTCCCTTCCCTTCTATCACCACTCCCCTTCCCCTCCTATTTTCCTATAGAAAGTTTATATATATATATATATATATATATATATATATATATATGTGTGTGTGTATATATATATATTTTTTTTTTGCTGAGGCAATCAGGGTTAAGTGACTTGCCTAGGGTCACACAGCTAGTGAGTATCAAGTGTCTGAATCTGGATTTGAACTCAGGTCCTCCTGACTCCAGGGCCAGTACTGTATCTACTGTGCCACCTAGGTGCCCCATGGGGCAAGTCATTGAAGAAAAAATATTTGCCTCTCTGTGCCTCAGCTTCCTTATCTGTGAAATGGGGGTAATAATAGCAACTACCTCCCAAAGTAGTTGTATCAAATGAGATTAATGTGTAAAGTGCTTTGCAAATCTTAAACACCATATAAATGCTATTTATTTTTTTCATTTATTATTTTTATTATCATTGTCATCTCCCATCATCTCCCATTAGCATATAAGCTCCTTGTGAGTAAGAATTGTTTCATTCATTGTATTTATATCCCTATTGCAGGGGTGGGGAACCTTCAGCCTTGAGGCCACATGTGGCCTTCTAGGTCCTTGGGAGTGGCCTTTTGACTAAGGCCAAGTTTTACTGAGCAAATCCTTTATTAAGGAGATTTTTTCTGTGAAGTTTGGAGTCAGTCAAAGGGCTACACTTGAAGACCTAGAGGGCCACATGTGGTCTTGAGGTTGCAGGTTCCTCACCCCTGCCCTAGTGCCTAGCACAGAGCAATAGGTGCTTAATAAATTCTTGTAGATTAATTGAAATAGTGGAACAAGCATTAAGGTAGCCCCTGGGTCCCCCATTCAGGTCTCTTAATGTTACCTGGTATTTGAACAAGCATTAAGAATTTTTGGTCTAGAACTAGTTCTCAGATTGTTGTCTTCTTATTGTATTATGATAATGGTTATAATTTTGTATTTGGTCTGAATTCATAATTTACTTATCACTGCTATTTCACAAAAGTAAGTACTATTGCCATTGGAAGTTGTTTTTCATCTTTTGTTTTTGGTGGAAAAGAAGAGTGGGTAAAATGGGAGTAAATATTGAAGTGATCTGTATATAGAAAAAAATTTGAACCCATTGATCTTCACCAACCTTTTTAGTTGTAATTGCCCCCAAATGAGGGGGCAGGGAGGGGTCACTATGCAGGGGCCATGGGTAGTCTAAAAGGAAATGGGGGAGAGCAGAAAGAAAGAGAAAAACCTGGTAAGGTCCCACAGGCAAGAAGACTTCAGATGCTGTAAGCTACCTGCCCTTGACTCAAGGGCTATATTTTGACTAATCCCAGACACCCCCGTGGGAGAATGCATCCAGATCAGTTTTTAAAATGCAGAATATGTCCTAAGCAACAGGTACCTTCTGTCATTGTTAGGCTTTGTGGTATAGGACTATTTGGAGGATGAATACAAGTTTATAGCATTGTAAATTGGCAATCCTTGGGACCCTTTCAGTGGTGCAGGATTAGTGTAAACCCTCACTTTGAGGGGACTGGGTATATTTGGCAGATCAAGCAATATGACTGTGAATTTTATAAAAAACAATGATCTTCACATCAGACGGACTGGTATTAATACAGTAGGGCTGAAAGTGTCTACCTTGACTTGTAAGGGTGATACAGACCTAGGTTCCTATAACCTCCCTTTTCCCAGCTATAGTTTTATCCTTTTGGAGAAGAAGCATTTGTTCAAATTGGCCTAGCAGGAAGGTGGCACCCAGAGACTGTAGATTTCCTGTGAAGAGCACAGAAGAGTTGACTGTTTTGTCCTGTACTGCCAGGACCCAACACAGGCTGTGAGCACACAATCATTTGGGTCCTAATGGTCAGAGACATATTAAAGGTGATACTCTGCCTCTCTTCTTCCTCTCAGCCCCAGGTTGGGGGTGGGGTGTGGGAGCTGAAATGAAGTCAGAACAGTTCACCGAGGTTGGCCCTGGGCAGGTCTACTCACTTGAGGAGATGCAGCAGATGAATTGACCCAGGCAATTGACTGGCTTTGATGTGGCACATAGTAGGGGGAGGAGGAAGGTGTGTTACAGGAACAGGCAGCAGACTGACAATCTCTCTTAGCCAAGATGTTCTCAGAAATATTCTTGTTCTGAATTAGAATTAGGAAATGGGCCTATGTTTTAGGATCGCAGTGTTTCATACTGTTGATTCATATGTGATGGCCATGTACATCTAGTCACAGAATAGATTGATAATGTTGGGAGTGTTTGTGCAAAGTGAACCCAATAGAAGAAAGGGAATGGGCCCAGTTAGATTGCATGAATGTTGACTTGTGTTGCTAGGAAATGTCTCCTAGGTAGGTGATGGTATGCAATTGAATGATGGGAACAGAGGTCCAGTCCTGTCTCTGTTATGTCAAGGAAGATGACTGAGGTTCCAGACTTCCCTAGAAACCTGAGGACTTTGGGACAGTTGCTTTTTTTTGGGAGGGAGAGACTGGTTAGATCATGGGATAAGTGGCCCAGACAGGGGTTGCCAACAAATGTAAAGATATTCAGTGGGGTGCTTAGAGTAGACTAAGAGGAGCAGAGGTCTGGTATCTGGCCATGGTTTTAGGAAAGCTGAGACCAAATGTTTTCAGTAAATAGAAATTTCTTTATGGTGTAACTCAGGATTAGTAATTTCCCATTACTACTGGGGGATGCCCATACTTCACACTTCTTATCCTGTAAACTATATTGTAGTGAGCTGTAGTTTAAAAAAAAAAAAAAAGGCAGTTCCCTTTGGAGATGGGGCAGAAAACTTTTTAATTTCCTGGACCCAAATAGAAGTGGCCTTAACCATTCAAAGAGGTCCTAAGCCCCCCAATACCAGTGTTTTGTGTTTTTGTTTTTTTGTTTAAATTTTCAGTTTCAAATCCTCTTTCTCCCTTCACTCCCCGAACCCATTGAGAAGGCAAGAAACTCATTATACTTGCAAAACATTTCCACATCAGCCAAGGCCAGTGTTAATGAGTATTTCCTAGACTTACTAGGTACCTGTGAAGGCTTTGTAATTATTTTGTCCTGATGGAACAGAGGGGTGGGAGTGGGTATTAGTTTGGCATATTTCCCTGTCTTTGATAGAAGGAGAGTAGCAGTTCAACTTTGGTTCTGTGGAAGAATAGGTAATGGGGCTTAGTTAGACCTCATTTGTTCCATGTATAATAGAACCTGACTTGTGCCTTCTTCTAGAGGAAGAATTGTTAGGTAGAGTGGATTGCTGAACCTACCCCATTCTGATAACCATGTGTATATGTGCCTTTTTTATTGCCAGGAAGCAGTTAGCTATACAATGAGACTTCTTTCATTTACAGTTCTTAGGAAGGAACTGGCTAGCCTCTCGTTAAACCTGGGGCTCTTAAGTTTCAGCTGAGAAGCACAATCAGGTCAGGATGTGGTAGCCAAGTCAGAGGCAATGCATGAGATTGAGGGCACTGAAATTCTCTGAGGAGGGAAAGACTATGGCAGGCAGAGGTGATTGACAGTAGTGTACAGATGAGAAGAAAATTTAGACATATAGAGATACTGTGCTCTTTAAACAGTTTTTTTTTAAAAAGTAGCTTTTTTTTAACCTTTATTTATTCATCCATTTTATTTATTTATTTATTTACTTATTTATCTATTTATTTACTGGTGAGGCAGTGGGGTGAAGTGAATTACCCAGGGTCACACAGGTAGTAAGTGTGAAGTGCCTTTAAAAGTTTTAAACAAAAACACCAAAAATGCCAACTCTTGGTCATGTTACTACACTTCAGCAGCTTTGGCCCCTTTGCCCAAGCACTAATAGAGATGTAGTAATCCACGCCAGAAAGCAATTGGGTAGTGCTGAGTTGGCCAAGGTATTGACCATTGGTCCTGAAGGCTCTGCTGAGCATGTCTCTATCTTGAACAAGAGATTTCCTGAATGCCCCTAGCCTCTTGCAAGTATAGAAGATATAGCTAGGAAGGAATAACTTAGAGCCATAACCAGAGGCTCTGTTTGTGGAGGTGGAAGAGCTGGTGGGGAAGAAAATAGCATTATTGCTTCAGCCTTCCCAATCCTCCAGCCGTAGCCATTTCATTTACAGTAAAACTCCCCTGGTTGGATGCATGTATTTTAAATTGAAACAACACTCAGAGAGGATTTCAACAGATTCTTTGCTCATTTCCTCTGTCTGCACGTTTCCTTTTCCCTACAGGCCTGTGGCTGTACCTGGCAGGGAGCAGTCTGCCCTGTCTCACGTTGATTGGCTCTCCTAATTTTGGATACAGGTCAGTTCATCGGGACCTGGAAGCCCAGATTGCCATTGTGACAGAGAACCGAGCTTTGCAGCAGCAGCTCCACCAGGTGGGTTGGGGCCAGTGGGGATATGTAGCTGGGAGTTCTGTTTTACCTTTGAGACCAGTGTGCCACTGTGACCCACAATGGTAACTAAAACTCTAGGAGGCAGTTTACATCAGGTTCCTCCTGGGGACTGCTTCCTGCTGGGAAGCCTAGATCAGAGTGGGAAAGAAGCCTGCTTTTCCCCAGTGAGTGAATCCTCCTTTTATGGGAATGGTTGGTCCCTATAGACAAACCCAGAGGAACCTTTCTGAGAATCATTTCTTGACTCTCCTGTGGCCACAATTCTAGCACAGCCAAATCCATTCTCCCTGATGAGAACAGCTGTCTGGCAACTTAAGACTTTTTTTTTTTATTAGGATTAGAACCTTTCTAAGAGAGTAGAGTCAAAAATTGCTCTTCAGTAGGAACTCCCAGGCAGAGTTTAGTTATTTCAGGAAAGAAGAGGGGCAAGCTGCTTGGGAATATTAGGGCAGGGGCACAGAGTAGTCCAAAAAATACATGAAAAAGAGAGAGAAGAAAAATCAGAAAAGAAAGTTCAAAAAGTCAGAGCTTTAAACTGCCTTAAACATCAGCACAAAAGGAGATATTAGTAGTTAAAGAAATCTCTGAAAAGGAAAATTAGGAGGTAAAAATGACTTTTTAAAAATGGCTATTTTCCATGAGACTAATGCCAGTCTCTGGAAATTAGTCATGGTTTTAGTGTCCAGATCATTAGCCACTTCAAATAGTGCTACTGTATTTTGTGATTTAGAAACATAATAGAAGATAAAAGCAGCCTGGAAAGAGAAAATGTTCATCTACCACTAGCCTGAGATTTAGTGATGGACTTGTGCTCGATTGAGACTTGTCAGCTGATTGGTTTCATTTCCCCTCTCAAGTGACGTCAGAAAGAACAGAAATAGAAGCAGTAAGATTGGCTGTCCTCATTTAAAGTATGGTCACTTGGACTTTCTGAGATATTTTTCTTCAGAAGAAGAAATCTTAGTATCAGTTTTCCCCACAGCCAGAAAAGGGTTAGGGTTCCCTTTGACTTCCCTTTGACTGTAGAGGAAACTTCTCCAGAGAGAGCTAGCTTCTTTACAGCTTTCCTAGTGTTACGTGGTACGTTGGTATGGGTCACCTCTCCTTCAACTTCCCAAGTAATCGTCTCTCCTAGGTAGACCCTGCTGCTTCCCTTTTTTTCTTTTTAGACTTTTCTAGAGTATTCAGTTGGGTTTGGCTTTACAGAGTTGGAAGGTATGGAAGGAGAGAAACTCAATTTCCTCCTAACTGTGGATGGGAGTTCAAAAATTTTAGGGGACCCCTCCCCCAGCAGCTCATTTAAAGTTTACCAGCACTTCCTTCATAATAGCCTCATGATGTAGCATGAATAGAACTACATGATAGTCATATTTTCTACCTTCTTTTGCCCAGCCTAGGTGGAGAAGCTAGCTGTTGTCTTGGGGTTGGAGGAGGCTTTCATGATCATGACATTGGACCCTTCCACTTGGACCACTTTGCTTAAAATGCATAAATCAGCACATTAGGGGAGTCTCTGGGATAGATCTAAACACAGTTTAGATCAACTTTGAACCCAGATCAATCCTTGAGCATGAGGGGAATGCCTGTGCCATGACCCCAGTGATTCCAGTTACCCTTTTGAGATCTTACAGCTTCCTTTCCTCTCATACCAGTCACATACATATGACTTCTGCTCTGTGTGTCAGTGTTCATAAACTTCAGCTGTTGACTTCATTTTTGGACTTTTGCTCCCAGATGTTCGGGAACTGCTATTGTGAAATTGTTTGCCCCTTTGTTGTTGTACAGGGAAATGAGAATTGCCTTGTTTCCCTGGGCCCTGCCTCTCTGGACTTTGATAATCCTGATAGTTGTTTGGGGGGCAGGAGAAGGGTGTGCAAATGGAAAAATCCAGTTTGCCTAGCTGTTCGCATTTTACAGAATAGATACTAGAAAATTACTGAGGCATTCACAGAAGCAGGAAGATTACAGTAATGAAGACAAGCCAGGGTAGGAGATTATCTCCACTCTACTACAGCTGGCCCCTGAGCCTTGGCTAGTGTGACTATGAACCTGAAATTCCCCACATTGTAGCCTTCTCTATATTTGTGCCAGTGTCATAGACAGTAAAAATTTCCCCATACTCAATAATCTTTGAATCCAGTTTTCATGGGTGCTTGCTTTTTAGGTCAGCAAGACAGTTCTTAATGCAGTTTCATTGATTTAAGGTCAACATTAGGTGCCCTCGTCTTGGATTGATCGAGAAGAAAAAAATCCTTTCAGGCTTGGACCCTGGACCCCTCTTTGTCTTTCCGGATATTGTTTCTGGGTATCAACTGAGTGACACTAAATAAATATTGATCATGCTAAACTCTCCATTTCTTGAATGAGGGGTTCATAGCAGGGTACTGAACCCACATCCTGGCTCTTGGGAAAGTTGGGTTGCTTGTGGCCAGAGCAACATAGTTGGGATTTTTTTTTTCTTCCCAAATCGGAATATGAGGGGCATTTGAGGATTGCAGGAAGGTAATAATTCATTTTTTTTTCTTCCTCCTCCTCCCCACCCCCCCCTTTCAAAAGTTGAACTTTTGGAATTTGTGCTTTTAGAATTGTAAAACTCATTTCTATTCAGTTTGCATGCATTATACCACCACACCTATGAATCACCTTCACAAATGTGGCTGAAGAATGTTGTGACCCCTAAGTGTGCTAGGTGCTCCTAGATAACAATATTAGTTAGCCACTCTTCCCTCACCTCCCAGGACACATATGCATAGCTCTTAAAACGCCAGCCACTCGAGGATATTTGAACTCTCCAAAGCTGCCTCTTTTGGTGTTCTTTCTCTGCTGTGCAGGGAAGGGCTAGGAGCTGTTCCACTGCCCTCAGAGCAGGGGATGGAGGGAAGTATTCATATATAGGAAGCGAAGGCCCTTCCCTGTATTTGGTGCATAAATTAAAAGTGGAGAACTTCCTGGTATTGTTCAGAACACACATCTCCCACTTGTGACCCAAGAAATGCTCCCCTCAATGGCATTGTAACCTGTATCAGCTGACTTCCTCTTGCATCTGTATTGTGGAGCCTGTGAGGAAATTCAAGTGTTTCTGGTAATTTAATTGAAATCTTGGCTGCTTATTCATTTTGAAAGCATAAAGCTGGAGCCCAGTCTGTGGAGAGCTCTTCAAACCAGCCTCTTGAGACTAGAGCTGGATTCTGTGTCATCAGCCCCAGCCAGGGATTTGGACCCTGGGAGCAACACAATTAGAAGGCAGGATTATTACATCCTTTTGTGACACAGAGCTGAAGTAGGGTCCCTCTGTTTATCTGAAACCATTACATCGTCCCTGGGGTAACAAACTGTTTTCATGCTCAAGGAAAAAGATCAGAAAATATATGTAATAGATTAATAAAAGAAAAAAATTAGGTTAGGCTTTATGTTTCTGTCAGGTTCTTAAAAAAAATAACTTCAACTTGATTCCAACCCCCTTGATTTTACAGGAGTCATGGGTTTCTGTTTTATGTAGGTAGGGTTGCTCTCAGTCCTATATTCATATTAAGTTGCTGGAGTCTTCTGATCTAGAAATAACAGCTATCAAACCCGAAATAGCTGGGTACACAATTTCCTGAGTGTTTGGTGCTGGGCTGGGTAACGTTGAAGGTACAAGACTTGGGGCTGGAGAAGGATAAAAGATGTAGAGGACAGATTTCTTGCCCTGAAGATATTTACAAGTGACTGGAAAAATAGTATTTTTTGTATGTGTGTGTGCTTTTTTTTAAAGGGAAAAAAATGGTTTTGTACATGGGGTGGTATAATATTATAAACTCAAGACAACTCATAGACAAAAAGGTGACCTTCCACAGCTATCACCTATCTCTCCATAAAGTTTATATGGAACATTTATCCAGTCAAAACTGCCTCACTCTCTCCCTTGGAATGTCATCCAGGCTTTTCCAAGACTACCCCAGACTACCCGTCTGTCTTGGAATGTCCTTAGAAGGCTCTGTCAGTGATTAGATGACAGGATAAACCCCGCCAGAGTCTGTTCACATGTCTTCTTTCCTTGTGGCCTGTTGTCACCTTCTCCTCCTCCAAAACTGCCCCAGCCTCCAAAGCTTCCTTGGCTTCTGCCACCAAAGCCCCTGGGCTGCTTCAGCCACTTCCTCGGCCCCCAAAGCTACTAGGGGTTACTTTGTTTCCATCAATATCCCCGTCCTCCATGGCCTCTTTCACAACTTTGGCATCTAACTCTTAGTTGAAGTCCACAAAACCAAAACCTTTTGAAGATCCATCTTCTTGTCTGTGAGTATCCTGGCACCCACAGAGCCATGAAATGAATCTTTCGACATTTCTTCCATTGTGTCTTTGGACAGGCCTTTGATAAGCAGGGTTTTGTAGGACTGGTTCCTTGGGGCTGCATTAATGGCCATCTGTCCTTTCAGCTCCAGCCAGATGGCTCTGCCTTCAATATCTATGTCGTTATGAGAATTCAAGGCTTCTTTTGCATCTTCCACAGAGGCAAATTCAATAAACTTGTACCCTTTAGGTTGGCCTTGGTTGTTCTGGAGCAAGCTGATAGATGTCTCTTTCTCAAACACTTCCTGCAAACTCTCCTCTGTGGCACTGTAGGTGAGGTTGTTGAGCACTAGCGTCTTGGAGTATGTCAGCTTGCTGTTGTTATACCCCAAGAATTATTCTTCCCACCTCTAGAGTTCTCTTGTCCTTGAGTTTTCTCCTGTTAGACCAGAATGAGCGCCCCAGCCATCAATCACAGTTCTCTGCTTCTCTTCCAAGGCCTTGTCCACATCTGCTTCCATCTTAAAATTCTACGTAGGCAAATTTCTTTGGGGGTCCCATCCTTGGTGCAGACCAACCTGACCTATAGCCTCTTCAAACACTTCCTTGCGCTCCTCTTAAATTACTTTATATGTCAAATTCTTGACAAAGAGTGTCCTTACATCTCGGTCTTTTTTTTTTGGTGAGGCTATTGGGGTTAAGTGACTTGCCCAGAGTCACACAGCTAGTAAGTGTTATGCGTCTGAGGCCGGATTTGAACTCAGGTACTATCTACTGTGCCACCTAGCTGCCCCCATTTCGGTCTTTCTTGTTCTTTTTTGGTTTTTCCAGCTTAATTTCTAGCGCTAAGCTCTTTGGAGCCACTGAGTTCCAGAGCCTTTTCCATGTCTTCAGCAGATTAAAATTGCACTTAGCCAACTTCCTGTTGGTGTCAATGCAGGCACTCACAACGTTAAGGTCCTTTTTTGCACAGACGTCCATGATGCCGGTTTTTAGCTCAGAAGCGGTTTTACTGAAGTTCAGGTTACCAGTGAAGAAACTGAAATTTGTGGATGCTTCAGCAGCCAGTTTCTGTTTTCTTTGTTTGCCCATTACCTTCTTCCTTTTGCTTGGTGTTTTTACACGGGCTTTTCCTCATTGTCTTCCTCATCCTCCTCATCTTTGTTTTCATCCTCATTGCCTTCCCCCTCTTCCTCAGATTCCTTGGCTTTCCCAGCAGTAGCCTTCCCTTTGGCATGTGTGGTATCCATAGCTTCTTCTTCAGAGTCGTCCTTATCTTCTTCGTCCTTGTCACTCTCCTTCCCAACTTTGTCTAGACTAGAGGACTATCTTAGTCCTTTTGTGGAATCCTGAACACTGCGGAATCTTCACCAAGCCCAGGGACCTTGAAAAGGGCTCACCTTGAAATCATCACCTTGTCAGAAAACTACAGTTCACCGGCCAAATGAGGCTCACCCGCTTTTCGTAACCCCCCCTCCCCCAAGCTAAGGATAATTTTTATATTTTAAAATAAATTTTTATTGTATTTGAAAATATAAAAACTATTTTTAGTTTGCAGGCTATAGTACTTAATTCTTTGCTGTTTCCTGCTCTAGGTCATAATTGGAATTTTGTAGCTGTTTTATGGTACCATCCTGAGAGTTCTATGCTGAACATTTGTTCATTTTTTTAAAAAGAAAATTCTTGGTTGTGGCCAGCAGGCCGCTCGTGCTTGGTTGGTGCTAGGTGGAATTTGACTGGTGATGTTTTTTTGTTGCTCTCTAGGAACAGGAGCAACTTTACCGAAGGTCAGGTTTGGTGTCATCTGCCACCTTTGAGCAGCCAAGTCGGTATGTGAAGCTGTGGGTGAAGATGGTGACTCCACTGATTAAGAACTTCTTCTGAGGACAGAACCTTATGACCGTTTGGTAGGTGAGATTTCTACCCTTCTCTACTGAATCTCACCATTGTTTTGATCATTTCAACTTGAAGCAGAGTTTGGCTCAGTACTGTTCACTCAGAGACCTGAAGTCTTTTTCATCACTTCCCTTGGGTGAATCCAAAACAGTGTTTCAAGATTTGAGTAGTTTTCATCTCAAAAATATTTTTTTTGGCCTCTACTAAGGCCAAATTTGTTCCCTGTTATTGATGAGGGAAATGATAAATTTAAGAAAGAATGTTCTCATCTTCCAGCTAAGTATTTTGCAGCATATATTAAGTGCTTAGTAAATGCTTGAAGCATTCATGCTGCAGATTTCCTCTATTGTAGGGAAAGGACCAGTTCCCATTGAGGTGGTGAAAAGATAATTTCACCTTTTTGTCTTCTGACACTGCAAGTTGGGAAAACAACCCTGGCCTGTTGCCATGGCCAGCTGTAGCTAATAGCTTGCAAGCAAAAGGCATCTAAGGAATCAGATCCTGAGCTAGCTTTCTTGCTGACGTCTTACTGACGTTCATCTGACTTACAGCTAAGGATATGAGATGCTCTAGATGTATGTCAGTTAGTTAATAGTAGTATCCAAAAGGATAGTGACCCTTGGTAGTAAGGGACCCTTCTGTCTTTGATACCCAGCTGTTATTCACAGAACTTGACAAGAATAATAGCTCCAGGTTTTATCTGGGTTAAATCTCTTCTTTATCTGATCTTTGACTTGGACTATAATCCTTTCAGGATGGGTTCTAGAAAGAGTCTGTTGCTAGAGGACTAGCTTTTGTCCTTTGTCTCTCTAGCTGTAGCTGTTGGTTATTCTAGTATCCAGTGGTTTTGCTTGTTACTTTGGAATTTCCCAGTGATAAGGAGCTTTCAGGCTGGGGTGATAACCATTCCCCCATCCCCATCAAATACCCCTATTAACCATGCAGATTTGGTATATGGTGGAGCCTATGACAACCAGCAACTACCCCAAAGCAACCATGCACCATTTGTCAGGGGTAGGCTTCAAAGTAGTTACTAAATTATTCTGTAAAGCAATGAGACTGGAGAAACCAAAGGAATGTACAGAGGCAGTAAGGGCTGTGGATAGAGACCTTAGATAAACAGGTTTAGCATTCCTTTAGATCATGTGGGACCAATGTAAACACTCTTGTTACATGGCTACAGTTTAAGAAATCAGCAGTTCTAGTTTTATGTTCGGACTTCATTCTCTTTGTTCTCTGATAATTCAAACTACACTCTGGAGGTGCCCTCTCATCAAGAAAACCTCTGCCCTAGGACAGTAATTCCTTTTGTACTAGAAAAATCAGAAATGAGCACTGTTAAAATCAGTCACAGAAAAGCAAATTCTCAGTCATCAAAGCAGTTTTAAATTGCAAAACAGTTTCCTTTCTAACCCTCATTTTACTTTAGGCATTTGATCTCAGCCTTTAAGCTGAATCATCCTCTAAAACATTTGGAGATAATTTGGTCAGTTGGCCATACCATGGTGGGTAGGATGCCTGTCTATACCTTATCTTTGCCTAGGTAAATGCAAAAAAGACTAGCATGTTTTCCCTTTGGACTCCAGAAGGTGGGGTACAGATCACTCCTGCTACTCTGAGCATAGAGAGAATCTTACAGACTTTCAGAATTGAATGGGACTTCAGAGGGCACTGAATCCAATTTGGACTTTTTCTGGAAGACTTCCTATTACTTTCCAAGGCAGTCCATTCCATTTTTGGAAGGGTCTAATTGTTTATTTTATTTTTTTTTAATTTTTATTTTTTTAGGAAGGGTCTAATTGTTGTAAAGTATTTCATTATACCAAGCCTAAATCTTTTCCTTTGAAATCTGTATCAATTATTTCTCTTTCTGTCCTCTGGGGCCAAAGTAAAACAAGTCTTATCCTTTTTTTTTTTTTTTTTTTGGCAAGGCAATTGGGGTTAAGTGACTTGCCCAGGGTCACACAGCTAGTGAGTATCATGTGTCTGAGGCCAGATTTGAACTCAAGTCCTCTTGACTCCAGGGCCGGTGCTCTATCTGCTGCACCATCTAGCTGCCCCAAGTCTTATCCTTTTTAAGACAGCTGTTGTCTATCCTGAATCTTCTGTTTTCCAAGTTAATACATATCTAGAACCTTCAACCAATTATTATGTGACATGAATTTGAAGCCCTTCTTGGTTTCTTTCCACTTAATCATTTCATCATTTCCTCCTAAAATGTGTCCAAGACTGAATAGGATACTTTAGATGTGATCTAGCCATGGCCGGGCACAATGGGACTGTCCCTACTATTTGAGGATGCCATGCCCTTCCTAACGTAGTTCTTCCTTTCTATTATAATAGAGGTAGTAATAGTTGACATTTATTACTCTAAACGACAGGGTGCCCTGCATCTCAACCTTGTGAGGTGGGTGCTACAGATATATGGATATAGATATAGATATCTATATCACTACCTCCATTTGACAGATGGAGTAAGTTCAGAGGTGGGATTTGAGCCCCAGCTTTCCCCTGACTCAGAGCAGCAACCACATAGGGACTAGAATCTCTTTCCACTAAGCAGGTAGGGGGAAGATGTGTAGGTTTGACCCCAGTTGTATGCAAGTTGTCTAGCTTGGCATGAAGGGTCTCTGTACCCCTACATTTTAGTAAATTATTTCGAATTCAGAGTTTCCCTTACCACTTATTCATACAGGATAATTTTAAGTACTTAACTATTAGAGGAAAAAAATGATCTTAGAACTCTAAGCCCAAGTCTTAAGATGCCAGACATTCTCAGAAGACTCTTCTTTATTTGTCTTTTAAAGCCTTCCACACAGTTGAGGGTGACCTTTTCTTATCTCACATTTATTCCAGAGTCTGTAACATACATGTTACTTGAAGATCACTTTTCATTCATGACCTGAAAATTTTCTCTAAACTGTTCATTAGTTATTCTTTAGATCTTCTCTAGACCTACCTTGTTCTCTTAGCTTTCCCATCTAATACCTCTTCCTTTCTTCCCTACTTTTTAAAGCTAGCTTTTCCTAGCCAGATCTCTACCTTTCTGGGCAGCATTACTTCTGACTAAAATTCTGACCGGGCCTCATGTAGGCCTTTTCCTTCCCACTACCCCACTGTGGAAGAACATGGGCCAGGGATTATCTCCTTTTGGGTAGAAAGCTGAAGACAGAGTCATTTATGATTCTAAATAAAATAACTGCTATACCTTTACCTAGCTGGCTATGAGACATGGTGCTACCTCTTACCATTCAACTTGTATTCATAAAATTCCTTTTCCCCAGTGCTTTAGTAATAATTTAGTTAATTTCTTCAGACTGAATAAACGTCAGTGCAAAATAGTCACTTCTGCTGATCTAGTAGAGCCGCATCATTTTAAATAGGAAGAAACTGGATTTGGAACCCAGGCCTCGAGTCTGAATCCATCATCTCTACCTCCCAACAGCATATATTATGTTACCTTTCAGTAGGATATTTTAGTGCGGATGACTAGTCATTAAAAAAAAAAAAGCTTGTGTAAAGGGCCTCTTGAAGGTGATGGCACTTGAACCAAGCCTTAAAATGACCTAAGGATTCTAAGAGGTAGAGATAGAGGTGAGGAGCAGGAGCTTCTCAGGCATTGGGAAAATCTGTGAAAGTGAGAGATGAAACATCCTGCATGAAGGCACTATGATGGGCCATTTTTGTGGGAGAAGCATTAGGGAGTAGTATGTGATTGGGCCTTGAAAGCTGTGGTTGGAGACAGATTGTGAAAGGTTTTAAAATATCAAAGAGGAGTTTTTATTTTATGCTGGAGGTGGTGAGGAGCCACTGAATCTTTTTGAGAAGAGGACTGGTCATTAGACCTGTTTGGAACATCATGTTTACTATACTCAATAAGGCAGGGAAATATCTTATAGCAGTTCCATCAAAAATAGTAAATGCAAGAAAAATTTTGGCATTTGGACCACAAAGCTTGAGTTATTTAGAAACACTATTTTCATGGAATAGCCCATCCCCAAATAGTGTTAGTTATAATAAGAACAGGAAAGATGGGCTCCTCACCACTTAACAGATCTAGGAATTGTCATAGTAGAGACTGGCTGGTGTCAGGGTTTCTGCTTCTGATTCTTGTTTTGTGATCCATGCCCAGCTCTGTGTAAAGGGACCAGAGTAAATATGTGACTGCTGGGCCTCATCTCTGGGAATGGTGGCCAGAGAGGGGCTGTGTTTAGAAATAAACCCAGAGACTTTTGGGAAGTCAAGACCATACTGTTGGTTCTTGGGATGTTTTCCCTTGACTGCTGGGAATTGGTCCCCTTACCCCAGGTAGCCTATTTCTGGTGGCTTTCAGGGCTTGAGCAAATGCAAGTAAATAAGACGATCATGACTAATTGGTATTAATACTTTAATCTGATGCCCCTCCTCCCCAACTACTACAGATGTTCTTTGCTAAAAACAACTTGATTATTTAAGGGAAAAATAAAAAGCAAAACACCAAAAACCCACATCAACACTGTTTAAAAAAAAAATACAAGTTGTGAGGCTGAGTTTCTAATTTGGAATTGTGGTTAGGCCATTAATCTGGCACAAGAGGTTTATGGGCATTATACATAGAATCCAGGGAGAAAGTTAAGCCTGTAAAAGCAATGCAACACCTGCTAGAATCCACTTAGCTGCCTTTTCTTTGGTCTTTAGATTAAAGGTCCAGACATAAGTGGGCCCACGAATTCGGGTTTTGTAGACAGGACATTCATATATGTTCTTGGTGTCCATACGGTCTACAGGAATGGCTTTGATGAAGATGACGGGCATGGGTGGTGTTAACTCCTTCAGCCGAGCTTCTGCAATGACTCCACTTTGGGTATCCCAGCGAGCCCCTGCAATCAACAACATGGCTCAGGCTCAGGGCCTGTGTGAAGGCTGTTATTTCTCGTTTGGTGTGCTGGCAATAAATCAGGGAAGGGGAGAAAGGGAGAGAGGCCCGGTATTTGCCCCTTCCTGCCCTTGGAGAAGTGCTTATGGGACACAA